CGGGAGCTGGAGGAGGAATTCCGGCAGCTCCAGGTGAGGCGCGGACGGGGAGGGGGTGTGAGGCACCGCGCCGGTGCGGTGCGGTGCGGTGCGGTGCAGCGCTGCGGGGTGTCGCGGTGGACCCGGCTTCCCGTCCGCCGCTTCTCTCGCCCTGCGCTGCCTTCCCCGGCTTTGCTTTGCATCGCTTTGCTGCGTGAGGCGAGGGCACCGCGCCGGGTTCGTCCTCATGTCTTTCCGCACCACCCCCCCCTCCCTGCTTCCCCCCGCCGCGCTGCCGCAGGCTGGGAGGGGGCCTCGCAGGAGCGGGGCCGACAGCGTGGGGTGGGGGGTGGGGATCCCCACCGCTGACCCCTTCCCCTGGCAGGTACCCGCCTCGGGGCAGCCTCGGCAAGATGCTTCCAGGGGTGCGGGAAAGGCTCGCCCCCTCCTCGCTGCACCCAGGAGAGGCCCCGGGTGGGCACAGGGCCACGCGTGTACGCCGCCTTCGCCGCAGACCCCGGGGGGCACGCACGAAGCGCAGCTGTGCGTGGATGCACGTGCTTGCACAGCACCCCAGAAACGTCGCTGGGCCCCGGTACCCCCAGGCAGGTGCTACGTGTGTGCGTGGGACATCCCAGAGCGAACCGCGGCCGCGCCCCGTGGACGTCTGATGAGGCGCCGAGGGGACGCGGTGCAAGGATGGAAAAGGGGTGGGTTTGCGCACCCATAGTGTGGCAGAAAGAGCAATGGCAGTAACACCTGTGCTGCGAGCATCTCCTGGGTGGCGTCTGATTTCACGTGGTGGGATACAAGGGGTTCGAGTGCTGTTTATCCGTCTCGCAAAAGCGTGCGGAGGGACGGAAAGACCTCGGAGCAGCGGCCAAGAGCTGTTTCTGCAAAATGCTTTTACCTCCAGGAAACCTTCCCTTCCCTGTATGTCATCAATGCTGCACCTATACACGTGCTTTAAATCTTTAAGCCAGTTTTAAAACACGACCGGCTGTTCTTGCCCTGTGTGGCTGTTAGCCTCTTTTAGGCTGTTAAACAGAACATGCGCCACAAAAAAAAAGTGTGATTTCCAGATTTAGCTCCATGTCTTAAAAGTCAATTCAGATTGTACGCTTGTTAACAGAAGGAAAGGTGGTGGTTGGGCGTTGGGGGGGAGCAGCAGCTGGCATGGTTTTGTTGATCACTTGTTTGCTGTATGTGCCAACCAGCCTTCTCACTGAGCATGTTGCTTAAGTCTGACCTAAACCACAGCAAAATGTCAGACTTATCCCTGTCTCAGTTTCCCCATCCATAAAAGAGAAGTAGAAACACTTGGTGGGATAGCAGCTGCTGGTGGTATGAGGTATCATTGCCCAGTGGGTAGCACTGTAGAGGTGAAAAGTTGGAATAACATCCATTATATGAGAGCTTCAGGGCTCACAAACAGAGTTTGTATCTGAATGCAGCATTGCAGAAGAGGGGAACACGGCACTGTCATGATGACATGACTTGCTCCAGCTCTGTGAGATGCTGGTGGTGCTTAAATGTGCTTTGGAGGAAGGCTCTGTGCTCCCAAACTTGATTCAAGTCAAACTGTGATGTGTTGGGATAGAAAACCCAACTCTTCAGTAAGAAAGTACTTCAGTATGGGTGTCTGCTCGTGCTTGCCCTTGCACGTGGCTTTTTGGACACACTCACAGCATCTCCTGCTCTTGAGGAGCCTAGTTTTCCTGGCAGCAGCTTGACCCTCCCCTCCACGCCTGCATCACTCCCCTTCAGCACCCTTTTTGGCTGGCCTGACTCTCCCCTCCGGCTGGAAATGTTGGTCTGGGGTCACGTGGGAACTGCTTCTTGCATTTCGAAGGAGCTCCCTGTCGGCGTTTTTCAAGGTATTTTGGTCAACCCCACTGAAAGGGTCTCTTGTGCAATGCCAGCAGGGAAAAAAATTGGTGGTGGGCAGATTGTGTGTTGAGAGCAGTGCCGGCCCCGTGGGGCAAAATGATCTCTGTTTCAATGCACTCCTGCCCTGTCTTGTATTTTATAAGTGCATTGTAAGTTCTGGGTCAGGGCCTGTGTCTTCCTTCTCCTGTGGAGGAGGACCTTGGACTCTGGTCATAGCTCCTGCCCCTGATGTGCTGGGTGGCTGGCGTGGGGCATGTGGGGCTGCACTTGTATTTGGGGAGCTTGAGGGGCTTCGAAGGGGCTGATGCTGCCATGCGGCAGCACTGAGCATCCCCTTGGGGCAGTGGGGACCAGCCGTGAGATGGGGTTGGGGGACATCCAGGTTTGCATAGCACTTCTAACCAGCCACATCTGCAGATTTTTGTTGTTTGGGTTGCTAGGGCAGCGCCCCAAGCTCGGGGCTGTGGGGCATTGCAGTTTTGGGGCACGGACATGAGAAAATACAAGTTGCCCTGCAAGAGCTTATTAATTTAAACCCTGCGTATGAACATGTAAACCAGATTTTGATTAGAAAAAAGCGCTGAGATGGCTCCCCGTGAATGTGGCTTGAGTCCTGCAAATGAACAAGCACTGACCACAAGCAGGGCTGTTGTGAGTGCAATGGAAAATAGACCTCGAGGTAACTACACAAAACATCAAGCAGTTGCAGCGTGGGGCTGCCATGCTGAGCTGCTGCCTGGCCTTAGTCTGCGAGCAAATTGGGCAATGCAATTTCCTCTTGCAAACTGGGCAATTGTGGTCCTGGCGCTGTAAAACTTGTAAACTCAGGTGCAGAGACAACTCATGCCCAGGAGCTCTTCAACTCAGGGCAAAAATACTCCTCTCTGTGGTGCATGCATCCTTTTTTTTTCAGCATGTGTTGTTCTCTACGTGGAGAGCGAGTTGTGGCCAGACCTGACCCTCCACGCAGGTATTTGGCCTGTGGGTTATAAGTGTTAATGTAAAGGCAGTGCTGAGCTACCTGTGCTGCCAGTAAGTCCCCTTTTTAAGCAATCACCTCTCTTGATGAATAAATAACTTCACTACTAGCAAATGTTATGTTCTTATAAATACCAGTGTCATTTTGAAATAGTAATCCTGATGTTTTTGGCTAGCGGTAAAAGTTACCAGCTCTCAACTCGCCTGTTTGTGTTTCCAATAAATACTTGAACACTATTTTGGTGAAGAGCTTCTCACACCCTTTGAACCAGTCTTTTTAAAGACGCTATTGCATGACATCTAGAGAAGCAGAAGAAGTTACTGTGCAATCCAATGACCCCCGAAGTCCTGCCCATGCTAAGCAAAGCCAAACCCATCCTGAAAGGATGAGAGCTGCGGTGCCTGGACATGGTTAGTTTGGTTATTAAGATTTTTAAATCAGACACCAGAGCTTGTTTTGCATTGCTGCTGTAAATAATGAACCACTAACAGGCAGGCCCCAACAAGGAGGAGAGCAAAGATTTGTTTTGTATGGTTTTACCACCATGTTTATGCTTTGGGAAAACTGGTGGTAATTTTCTGTGGTCGTTGATGTGCCGGTAGATAAAGCAGCCGTGCAAATAGCCATTTAACCTGTGCCTTCATTTGGCACTAACTCTGCAAACTCCATTTTCCAAGTTTTTATAGATCTTAAAATTTGCCCTGAGGGCATTGCTTGGGGTCTGGTTAGCCCTTCCTGAGGTCTGCCTGCACTTGGGAAGGTGGTGAAATCACTGCAAAGGGTGGAAAAGCAGAGCATGTTTATTCCCATGCAGAGGGAAGGGTGGGAGAGCAGAGGCACCTCTCAGTGGGCTTGCAGTTGGTTAGCGCATCCTCGTTACGGCCAGTCAAACACTAATTGGGGGCTTCAGAGGATCAATGAGCTGTGATAAAGAAGTTCCTCTCTAAGAGCATCTAATGCCTTAGCATCCCAGGGAGGGGATGTGTTAAGCTCTTAAACCAGAGTCAGTAGGTTGCTTGAACATACATGGGGTCAAGATGGCAGTGGTGGCCAGGAGACATCTAAACCCCCAGGCATGGATTTGTGGCTGGTTTTGTGTCTTCCCCCCCACCCCAGGTCCTCATATTTCTTCTTTTTTCCCCCAGAATTAATCTGGCTGGGAAATCAGAGTTCCTGCTCTGAGATTTAGCCACCCGTTTGATGGGGACAGATTGGAATCACACAGAGGATTAGGGGCTTTGTTACAGAGTGAAATGGGAAGGAGGAGCTCCTGAGTGGGAAAGCTCCTTAGAAAGAGGAAATGAGACGAACATAGAGAGGATGCTCTTCCTTTTGCAAGGGTTTCATTAGTGTCCATTTAAGCCATGTTATATCTGTGCTGGTTTGGCATCGCCCCTTCCTTGCTTGTTCACAGGGGTGCCTGTTGGGTCCCAAGAAACCAGGGGTTTGCTTGCTTCCTTCAGAGGCGAGGACCAAATGCAATGTGTAACCTAGAAGGGCTCTTCCTACCGATCATCTCCTCTTCTCCTGCAGGAAACACACAAAGTTTACAGGCAGAAACTGGAAGAAGTCACCAGCTTGCAGACAGCCTGCAGCAGCTCCATACACCGGCAGAAGAAGACCCTAAGGGATCTGAAGCACAGCCTGCAACGGTAATGGTAGACCTGGAGGGTGGAGGAGGCAGGGATAGGATCTTTCACTTTCCCAAAGGGCTGAAATGTTTAGATTTTTAGCATTTTAATATGCAATCTGTGTTGCTGTTGTAATTTTGCTCTGTATTATTCTTGAGTCACCTCCATCTATCACAGCCAGGTAAAATGTTTGTAACCCTGTGAGAGATGAAGTCCCGTAAATAAAGAAGATCTCTGAGGGAGCCTGTGTGGGTTTGCATCCTTGCAGTATGTGCCATACGCTGCAGGACTGTGCGGCTTTTGGTCCATGTGTTTTGCTAGATGAGCAAAGCTTTGCTCCGTAAGCTGTGCATCAATCCTTGAACCTGAAGGTGTAACTTGCTCCCTGGTAGATTTACAGGAGGGAACTGTCTCTGGCTGCTCGGCTGATCCCCGGGAGCCACAGGCAAAATTCCTTGTGTGCAGGTCTGAATACACCACATCCAACACCACGGGTTGTTAATGCCATTGTGCACTGCTCTCTGTTTTACATTAATTGGTAAAACCTCAGTTTGTCAATAAATCATCAGCTGTGTGTTTTGTTACATTCTGAAATATTTCATGCCTGATGAGCTGCAGCCTCTGCAAGGCCAGGGCCTGAAACTGCGCACAAAGTTCCTAAAGTGGAAGGAGTTCCTGCAAAAAACCACAATATTCCCTGAGTGCTTTGCTAGGGAAGAAGTACGCAATCCTGTCACTGAGCTGAGATGAAGAAAGAAGCTGATTTATAAACCAGTTGGTTGAAATAGCCTACAAGGACATAAACAAGGCACTGAATAAAATCATGGCTAAGCCAAATGGTGCTGCACAAATACAGGAGTGAAGTGCGCAATGGCATCAGCTCATGCAGTTAGCTTTTTAACAGCATGGGTTTTATGATAATGTTATTTTCCTTTAAATAAAAAGGAGGTAAAAACATAAACAGGAATATCTTGTTTCTGTGTTCTTGCAGGTGCAAGCCCAGAGCAAGTCCTGAAGAGTTTGCTCTCATTCAGGAGATCAGCACCCAGATCAAGGAGAGGCAAAATGCCTTCTTTGACATGGAAGCCTACTTGCCAAAGAAGAACGGGTATGTGCTTTGCTGGGGAGGCGTGTGCTCCGGGAAAGCTGATTTTTCAAGTGTTCGCAGCGGTGTTGTTCCCGGAGGATAATGTGCATGTTGAACAAATACATGTAAAACTGGATTAGTCATAAATCTCTTGCTGAGCTGCTGTGTCAGTTGTACACAGAATTCATTAGCTGGAAGTGTATGTAAATGTACTGCATGTAGGCAGTACAGGGGTTTTTGTTAAAATAAAAGTAACCCTGCATTGGCGAGAAGTCATGCAATTCACTGTTTCACACTGATGTTTTTCCACACTGTGCTAATTTTTTAAAGACTAAATCAGCATAGGAATTTTCTCACTTTTCTTTTTTTTAAAATAGTGCTTATAACCAACTTAAAATTTTTACTTTGCTCCCAGTGGGGTTGCTAGGACGTATTTCTTTGAGTTGTCAAGGGCTGTGTGATGCTGCAGCCCCTCAGAAGTTTCTATCAGAAGTTTTTCTTCCAATTTCTCCTTGTTATTTTTGGTTTTGGACTACATATCTCGCCCTTAGACTGTAGTGCAGAAAAGGGACCAGGAAAATAAACCTTTTCTCTAACTTCTTGGAAATGCTGACCTATCTTCCCACATTTAAATCCTCTTCTGTAGTCTCTCTCTCCAGTTTGCCTTAATTAAAACCTACAGCAAACGTGGCTTTGGCAGATAAACTGGTCTCTTCAGCTCTGATCTGGGTCATCCTGTGGCGTTCAAATAAAATTACTTACTTGGGTCTGCTCTTGTTTTTTTGTCTTCCAGCTTGTACTTAAATCTGGTGCTGGGAAACGTGAACGTAACTCTCCTGAGTAACCAGGCAAAGTAAGTGAATGTTTGTGCACGTGTGAATTTGGGTTTCTCCGGGGCCAGCTGTGGAGATGGACTGAAGTCCAGAGATGAGAATGGGTTTCTCTTAGATCCGATAAAAGATGAAATGTCAAGGGTGAGCAAGTTGGACCGTGACGCGGGGCCAAGCTAACGCTTCATGTAGCTCCAGTGGATTCTGTCCATCACTTGCTTTTAAGCCCGGCCCAGCCTGTTGCCTTAATTGGGGAGGGGGTGGGGGTGGAGGGTTGCGGTGATAAATGGTATTGCGACTTCTAGGCATACAGTGCTCCAGAACATGGAGGTGGTGTGGGTTTTTTTTTAAATCCTGTCATGCCAACCCAGAAACCAGTTCTTACGGATTTAAGCTGTTGTCTTGCAGTACAATGGCCATGCAGGCAAAATGCTGCTTTTCACTTCTGTCTGCTGGTTTTCTAAATGTTTCAAGCAAAACTTCTGTCTCTGGGTTGGCATGTGGATTTGTATCTGGTTTGAAAAAAAAGTGAAGCCACGTTCCAGTAAAACACCCATTTGTGTCCGTAAACGGTGGCTCTTCCCTTCCAGGTTTGCCTACAAGGACGAGTATGAGAAGTTCAAACTTTATCTGACGATAATCTTGTTACTCGGGGCCGTTGCCTGCAGGTTTATTCTCCACTACAGGTAAGCCTGCATTTTTATTTTTAATCAAGTATTTTGAATAAAAACGTGCTGGGTTTGAACTAACTGTTCTCTTCTGTTAAGGACTGTGAGACAGGCTCTGGCAATGTTTAGGCTTTGCGTAGTTGGACAGCAGGATAACTTTTGCATCTCTTCTTCAACACTGGCAGGCCCTGTATTTTTGCTTTTCCTTGTTTAACTTTTTTCGGAGTCTCTTGTAACTAAGAGAAGTCCAACATCATGTTTCCTGATCTGTCGTTTTTCTGGAGTCACGCTGTGCTTGGGAACGAGCAGTTGGTTTTGCTCACGGCTTGTCCCAGGCAGGGGCCGGTACCATGCTGCAGCTCTGGGGTTGCAAACACAACAAGGGAGGATTTGCATGAAATTATCAGACCTGAAATGTTATCTCTAGGTCATGATAAAGTCTCTGAGCACCAACAAGCTTCCATTATTCAGTTTTGCTTAAAAAACAGGAAAGTGTTGGAGCCAGACACTTCCATTGAGGTCTCTCTGGGTCTGGGGTGAATGCAGGATCATACCGAAGAACAGTGCTGCCGTACACAGAGGCTGCCCCGAATTCCTTTGGCTTCAGGGGTTTGCAAATGGCAAAATAAAGGGGTTTTCCCCCCCCAGAGTGTAATGCTCTTCTGCTCTTTTAGTTGATTGGATTTATATAGATCTCATGGAATCTCCTCATTGAATTAGCCTGGAAATGCCACTCTAAATTGGATCATCCACTGCTTCCATGGTGCTTTCTCTCCTTCAGAAGGAATTAATGTCATCTCTGCATACCTGCTTATCAGCTCAAGATCTGCAGTGTTATATCACAGGGCACTTCCCAGAGGAAAGGACTCTGAGCCTGATGGTGCTGTCGATGTGTACAGCTCTGCATGTGGGTTAGAGATGTTCAGGACTGGGGCTTTGTGTCTGTAGCCTCACTTGGGCAGGTTTTCATTCGCCCAAGGGGAGGGAGGAAAAATAGGGGTTTTTTGAATGTGTCTTTATAATTAACAAGATTTTTTTTTTTTTACTGTGTGTTTTTTCTGTTTAACAGGGTGACAGATGAAGTGTTTAACTTTCTGTTAGTGTGGTATTACTGCACGCTGACGATACGGGAAAGCATTCTCATTAGCAATGGATCAAGGTACCGTGCCACCTGCAAAACTATTTAAAGGATGAAATGTCCTTAAAAGAAAAACGAGCAATAAAAGGGGATTCAGCTTGGTGCTGAAGCCCAGCAAATCCAAGATGCTGATGCCTCTCTGCAGGGTCTCTTGTCTGGGTCCCCCTCCCTGGCCGCTTTTGAGGGCAGATGTGGTCACCTGAGGCCACCTGGGGAGGGAGGAGAAGGTGCAATTCCTAAAAGTCCATAAGCTCTTGGTCCGAATTGTTGGATATTTTTTGTAGCTATGGGTTAGTTGTAGATGTGGTCTGGGGTGTAAGTGTGTACGTGTTTTTGGTCACTGCCACATCTCATGGAGTGTGTGACTACATTACAGTCGTATCGAGGGAAAGTTGGCGGTTAGGGGATAATTGTATAAAGAGCTGGGAACACAAGTAAAACCCTGGGAGAAGTTAACTGCAAGATGATCCTTACTACAAGCCCTCGTTTCTTTATGGCACCCTTAGTAGGGATATCCTAAGGCAGGGTGATGAGGTCCTGCTGGTAAATCACTTCTGGAGTATCTCCCTTGGGTCTGGGTCGAGAAGTTGCCTGAGTTTGCACTTGTGTGCAACCTGGAGTCTGGTGTCAGATTTTAGCAATAACCTGATGGCTGCATGTCCCTGATTTTCATCATCCAGATAGGCTGGTGTGGGGAAACTGCAGCAATCACCACGTCTCTTCCCGTTGCATGTCAGTTTGCTGCTGGGTGACTGGCTGCTGCTGCTGCAACATTTGCAGCTCCCTGTACCATTAATTAATTGGGCTTCTAACTTGTCTTGTTTGGCACCTTTCGGGCAGCCAGCATCACGTTAGCCCAGCTTCCCACATTCATTCTTGCTCTGCATGCTGCTCAGAGAACTTGCACGCTCCCTTGTAATGGTGCTTGTACAGGGGTGGACCAGCACTTGTGTTAGTGGCAGGAGTCAGTGTTGTCCTAATTAAGTAGCATTATCTAATGATCAGCTGGGAGCAGCTCACAGCTCCTTGTTCCAGCCAGTCACTTCCCTCTCTGAAACCAGTTGCTTCCATGATCTCCTTGAAATGGGGATGGGAGGGAGCACTTCTGGGAGTCTTGTCTTGACATCGCTGGCTGGATGCTTGTGGTCCCCACTCCTGATGCAAGACGGGGTTTGTGCCTGGAGGCAGGCACCAGTGTGGCATGTGTGGCGGGAAAATCAGGCCCTTCCTCCTTTGTCTGGGGGCAAAATCTTAAAAATGGGCTGATGTCTGGGAGCTGCTTGAGGACACAGTGTCCAGCGCTGACTGTGGGCAGCAGGGATGAAGCAATCTCTTCTGCAAGCATGGCTGTCCCCAGGGCTGCTGCAGGCATGATGTCTTGTTTTGGGGTGCTTTCTAGAGAGGAGGAGGGGGATTGCTGTGGGGCTAGAGACAAAGAGGAAAAAACAAAGCATGGGGATATAAAGTTGCTTGCCTGAGGCCAGCAGAGAAACAGCTGAGCCTGGGCTTGCTGTATCTGCAGAGGTTGGTCACAGCAGCTCGGGGGCTGTCTTGTGTTAGAGGTCACACACCTTTGATTGGAAATGCCCCAAATTAAGCCATCATGTTGGCTTAGTTTCCAAAGCAGTGCCATCCCTGGGGCAGCTCTTCACTTCTTGATTCTGCCTCGCCACATCTTTTGCTCACTTTACTGTAATTTTCTGAGCTTTCTGCAGCTTTCGTGTCTGAAAGAAACAGCCACCTCACAGGAAGGACTTGGAAATGTCACTTATTTGCATGGCACAGAAAAAAAAAAGGGTGTGTGGGCTGAAAGTTGTGCATCATTAGTCACCGCGGTGCCTCGTGCTGCAGGGACTGCTGCTTCTCGCTGTGCTGGAGAGCTCGTGGGAGCACGCGAGATGTGCGCTGGTCCTGAGCCTCCCTCTTGCAGTTGTGGATTCTTGCCCCCAGCTAAGCCATATTGCCAGGGCAGTGCTCCACAGCACCCCTTTGGCTTGAGTTGGGCCATCTATTTTGTTCCCTGTCCTTCCTCCTCCCCCAAGTCAGGGTAATTTTTTTTTGTCTGTAAAGCGAGACTTACTATGCTAAAATCCATGTTTCTTGTCTAACTGCCACGTTTTTTCTGTTCAGGATCAAAGGCTGGTGGGTGTCTCATCACTATGTCTCCACATTCCTGTCTGGAGTAATGTTAACGTGGTGAGTCTGCTCTTGCCTCCTCAAGGTGCTTCAAGCTATTTCATGGTGTTTGCATCATCTGAGCATTTAAATCCAGCGTGACCACGAAGCTGTGGCCACATGGCAAAGCATCAGACTTAATGTTTGTCTGATGTTACAAGTGTTTTCAATGATAAATACAACACTGCAAGTTTGTATTTACATTGCTGATTTAAAAAAAAAGAAAGAAAGAAACCCAAACCCTAAGCTGTAGTTGTGCTGATGGTAGCAAAATCTCTGCAAGTCTTTCAATTTCTGTCTCTGTAACTAAGAAAGCAAGCAGCACTTTGCTTTAGAGGGAGGACACCACAAAATTAATCTGTTTGGTGCCTTTACTGAACCCAGATTACAAACAGAGTATAAAGCCAAAAATGCAAGTTACCTTCCCATGGGGGGTGGTGGTGGTCAAACAACAAAGCAATGCACCCCGCGTACGGTGCCTGTGCAAAGTGTCTCAACTTTGGCATGAACTAATTAGTTAATAATTAAAAATTGTTTTAAAACAACAAATGTTTCTGCTCATGAATCTGTAAGGGGACAACGTCATGGCTGGAGCACAAGGTCCCCTGTCCTCTATGTATCCTGAACTACCCTTAGGATAAGGAGCATAACCACCCCCTGCTCCACCACTTGGATTCTTGATGCAGACGCTGCTGAATGGCTTTGATTGCTGCCTAGAGAAGACGGCGATAAGCAAATGAATAAAAGGGGGCAGCATTTGTACGTGTTGGAGAAGGGAAACCTAATTGATGAGAGTGTTTCCTACATGCCAGAGTTGTGATGTGCAGCTGTAGCACCCTCTCTGGGCTCCCGATGGGGTGGAGCGGGCTGGGTACCAGCTGCTTGCTTCGTTTGCTAATGGGATCTGGCTTGGCAGTGAAGGGGAATAGCGCACTGCATCGTATGCTTTTTATCAAACAAATTGACCTCCTTTATATTTTGCTTTCAGGCCAGATGGACTCATGTATCAAATGTTTCGCAGTCAATTTTTAGCATTTTCAATATTTCAGAGTGAGTATATCTTACCTTGCTAATTCATGGGGTAAAATAGTTTTGTATGGTACATGCTTAGAAGAAAACACTTCTGCTTGGTAAATACTAGAGTATTAAACTGTAGAAATATAAAGATAGCATACAAATATAAACAATAATTAAATGCTGTTGGATTAAACATTATTAAAATAGTTTGATATGTTTATCATACTTCTGAATAGCCAATGCAATGATGTTTTATCTCTCCTTCTCCAGGTTGCGTTCAGTTCCTACAGTATTATTATCAAAGGGGCTGCCTTTATAGACTCCGTGCTTTGGGGGAGAGAAACCACTTGGACCTTACAGTAGGTGAGGTTTTCTGCAATACTTTCTTTGCAAAGTTTTTGCACAGGTTTTAGATGTGGTGATAGGGAGAGGGCTGTGTGGTCTTCTGAGAGCGAGCTTTGCAGAGCCTGCCACCCCCCTGCCCTTCTGCCTATGTCCTAAGGCAGGAAGGGGAGCGAGGCTTTTATCCCCCTCCTTGGGTCCTGTGGCTTGGGAGCAGAGGGCTCTGGTCTCCGTCAGGTCTTGAGAAGGTTAAGATGGAGGTTTTGGGCATCCCCATCTTCATCCTCCTCCCATTACCACACCTTCAGGTATATATTTTAAATTGGTTGGTTATTGCGGAGCTGGATGGGAATAGCCCTTATGAGGTGGTCTGGGTAGGGAGGGCTGCAGCTCTGGTCCTGGCTCTTCTGTGCTCTCTCTCCATCTCTTCTGTTAACCTTTTCCAGAAGGATTTCAATCCTGGATGTGGCGGGGGCTGACGTTTCTCCTTCCCTTCTTGTTCTTTGGGCATGTAAGTTGGGCAATCCTGTTCCCCCATCTGCGGTGCAGGGCCTGGGTGGGTCTGCTGCTGCGGTTGCAGCACCATAAAAAGGTGCTTTGGATCACATGCACCCATGGCAAATGTTTCTAAGGAGTTTTTTTTGCTAGTAATGAAATTGTGGTTTTGGGTTTTTGTTTGTTTTTTTTTCCTTTGTAGTTCTGGCAGCTATATAATGCAGTCACGCTTTTTGGATTGTCGAGGCATAAGGAGTGCAAAGAATGGCAGGTGGGTGTTGGTTCTGCTCAGAAAAAGCACGGAGCAGGAGAAGAGGGGGTGTTTAACCACATCCTTAAAGGTACTTGGGTATCTGACCCCATCTAAATATCTCAGGATGATGTGGCACAGAGCCTATACAAGAGAACTCAAAATAAATGTGAGTTACCATAGAGAAGTTTGCACCCACGGGTGACCACACAAACTGAAAGGCAGAGCATGTAGGGGAAGAAAATACACGTGGGTAAATATCTCTCCATATTGTTTGTGTATATGGGCATTTAATAGCAATGGCTGTTGAGTTGCTGGTGGTTCTTTATGGCTGATCCATGAGTTACACATACAAAAATATGATGACAGTGGATCACTTTAAAAACATATTATCTGCTTTATTGCCCCACTTCTAGGGATCCTTCCCCTTGTTTTCTCAGTTGCTGTCACCCATCAAACATGTCTATCCCTTTCCAACTATACAGTTGCTCCTGTAGATCCAGATTGAACCACATCACATGTGCAGTGGTGCATTTACTGTGATGGTCTTTATTTTGGTCAGATCTTGCTGTAACTTGTGTGCTCACTTTGTTCAGGAGGAACACACCTTCCCGCAGAAACGGGTCATTCCCTGGCACCTGTGCCACTGCTGTTCAGTGCACGTGCTTGTAGCATAATGTTAATCCATTAGATTGGACTTAATGATTTGATTTTACTGTCTGGTAGAGTCAGCGGTGTTGAATATAACCTGTGTTGTAATATTAAAAAGTAGTAAATGCTACTTAAATAATCATGATAAAAATATACTTCCTGTTAACCCACACAGCTGGATGCATGGATGTGTGTTTGGCTACGATCTTCTCTCCTCGGATCTCCGTGCTGACAGATCCCTAGACTTGTCAACCAAGCTGCACCAGAGCTCACTTATATGTGGCCAAAGCGGTACCCTCAGCTCTCACCCTTTTTTCCCCTTTTTCTCCCCTCAGGTTTTTGTTTTGGCTTTCACGTTTCTGCTGCTCTTCCTCGGGAACTTCCTCACTACTCTCAAAGTGGTGCACACTAAACTCCAGAAAAACAAAGACAAAATGAAGAAGCTGTGAACCCCCCGTCCCCGGTGTGCTGGCTGCCATCCCCCTGCCCGCAGCAGGCGCTGGGTTTGGGATGGATCCTGCTAAACCCCAGCAACACGACGGATGGGCTCGGAAGGACTCGTCTGTCCCCATGTTTGGTGAAGGATATGGACTCTGCCAGCACAGACTCAGTATTAATGCAAGCATGGCTCTCCAGTCCGCAGTCCTGCTATTTATGTACATTTAATACAAAACGTGTTTGCTTTTGGGGGTTTTTTTCTGTATATAGAGCAGCATACACCTGCCCGGTGAAGTGCCAGCATTGGGGAAATGTGGGATCTACTGTAATTCCAATTCTGGAATGATATTTAACACTTTGCAGTTTTATTATTTAAATTCTGGGTATTGGATTTGCAAAGGTTTATGAACACTCCAGGTTGATCAGTCATACAGACTGAATGCTGTTTTAAAGGCATTTGTTGAAGGCATATTTTCAGTGGCAATACTAACCTGTGTGTACTGTGAAAAAAAAAAAAGCCCATCTTTGTACCATACTGCTGCTATATACACTTTTAAAAAGCTATTTAAAGAAATCCGCTTTTGAAAACAAAAACAAGTGAGCAAAAGCAGTTTTTAAATGGCAGGGAAGTCTGCTAGCCCTCTTCCAGGGAGACCAGGTCATCTGTCCAGGCCTGGAAAAGACCTAAAATAAACCATTCAATATGCCACTGCTTCAGCCTCTTTTTAATAACAAATACACTGCCCTTCGGGTTGGTTTTTCGAGACACTATGTTTCTTTAAAATATCCTTGATCAGTGGCAGTAAGTGCAGTTGCACTTCAGTTTCTGTTTTCAGTACTGTTTGTTCCCAGTGCTGTTCTGGAAAGGGGAGGGACAGGCTCAACAGAAATATTAAATACTTTCTTTAGATGCTGCACTTGTACCAGTAATTAAGAGAATGTAAACACTCATTCAGGAGGATGGCAGAGGACAAATACTGACTGCCATCCTGTTTAACTCCTTGTGCTGCTTGAACTTAAACTTAACTCATTCCAATAAGCTTGTTTTGGGTGCTGTAACAGCTGTACCTCCCAAGGCCAGCTGCAGTATTGTGAGCTGCTTTAGGCAGCATCTTTCCCAAAGGTGAGGGCTTCCTTTGAGCTAGCACAAAGGCCAAATTGGGCATATGCTTTGGCAGAGTGATCTGAAAATGATGCCCTTCTCCCAGTAAGCGTGCTCATGAACAAATATATACGCACTACAGACTTGAAATGGTTTCATCGGTTCTTCTGTTGATGCGAGGCTAGCAAAATTACCTTTACAGTGTCACTGTCCTGTGGGCATGAACAATAAATTGCAATTTGCATATTTTGAACAACTTTCACACTAGCTGGGCTGTATCTTGCTACATTAACTTTCAACTTTTGCACACCCTGTGAGGTTTTTTTTAATCCTTTGAAGTCTCCATTTATGAAATGTAAATTGTTTTATTTTGAGAGCGATGCTGGAACCTGCTGGATCTGAGCAGTGGACCTGGTTCTCCAGGGGTGGGGAGCTCTGCACATGGTGAGTAACTTGAGTTCTGCAGCATGAGAAACTCAGAATAAAAAAGCAAGGAAGATTCCTGCCATGGAGCTGAGGGTAAAGGCAGTAGCTTCCTGCACATTGATGTTTCAGTTTCGTACTGGGTAAGGTGATGGGTGGTTTGCTGTGTTTTACTGACAAATGTTTCCTTGTGCACAACTCTTCAAGATTTTTCTATAGTCAAAGATGTGCACAAACTTGTAATTTATTTTTTTTTTTAATTTTCCAATTTAAGTTGATAGGGACTGACAAACCTAATTAAATCAAAACAAGTTAGGGGAAGAAAGAAAAAAAAAAAAGTATGATTTTGAGGATCAAGATCTCTTTACCCTGCATGTAAAATAATAATGATGGCTTGCTCCAAAACAGTTTTTCACCAGCTGGTCATGTAACCAGCAGAGGGTAAAGTTGCATGAAATCTCTACAATGCACAGTTACCAGGCTCTATGTGCAATGTTTGTCTAACAGTAGACTCCTGGCCTGCACTGCCTAAACTTTTTGGCAAAAGGTTGTATCTTGTTACCTGTTATATAAGTAAGTCCTAGGTATTCTCCCTTAGGATGGGCTGTAGTTTGCCTTACACAGAAAGCTTTCAGCAACACCTGTACTGCAGAAGCCTCCTTCCCCCTCACGGGTTTGGTTTATGATGGCTACAAACTAGTGATTGCTCCTGAAATCTGAGATCTCACTGCATGGGATGCGCAAAAGAACTAGGAGATTTGAGGCACATGTACTACATTGTGCAGTGGGTGCATCCCTCATCCTTAAACAGGCAACTGACACCTTCATCACAAAAGGGAAAATTTTAATTTGTAGCAGTAGAGATGACTTCATCAGTTAATGCACGAGTTAAGTATTTCTGCTAGCATGCACCAATACTTGCATCTGTCATATATTAAATAAGCTATGTAAGTTTATTGTAAAACTGACTTTACATTACACATAGTAGCTCCTTGGAGTACTTTGAGTGCTGTAAATTAAATATTTACCATGATAGGCCATTTCTGAATTGGAGCAACCGATGTATTTCCGTTGATAAATACCGGTTTCTATTACAGCAGCAGGCCTTGCAAGGAGACCTCTAAAGGTGTAGCTCTGCAAAGCTGGCCCAGTGGTACAGGGCGAGTAGCGGGTCCTCTGTCTGCACACTCTGGGGGCAGCTTGAGGCTAGCTCATACCACTGCCACCAAGTAACTTTGAAAATGTTAAGACAGAACTTCATTTCTGTCTCTTCAAAGGTGCCTGATAAGCTGCTGATAAGCTGCTCTAACATCACTTCTTCTAAAAGATGTGGCTTTTCTGCTTGAAAAAGTAAACTGTAGCTGTAACATGCCACAATTATTTTGCAGAGGAAAACCACGCTAATTAAGTCATACAGTAGCAGTCGCTGTTCATTGCAATTTAAATAGTGAGTCCAAGACCTGACTGGTGGTCGTTTGCAGTTGGGAGCAAAAGCCAGATGGACAAAGGCATGCAGCATCAGTTAACCTTGATAAAGAGCTTTGAAAACTTGTGAGAGCAGTGCAAAGAAGTGCAAAAATAATAAAAATAATTAAAATTTAAAAATAAAAATTTTTCTAGGAATACAAACATGTAATGAAAAAAAAATGGTCTTTAAAGTTACACTGTTTTTAAAATCTGAATCGCCTGGCGCTCTTGCAGTCAGTGCTCTCTTGCAGTCCGTGCCTTCTTGCAGTCCAGATCATAACACTGAGCACACTGTCCGTTTCTTTTGGCGCTTGGCTTTTTTCATGGCATTCAGTGCAATGGTTGTTGCTTCTTTAAAAACATTTTCTATGTTTTCACGACATTTTGCTGAGCACTCCAGATAAACTTCTGCATTAATCTGCTGACAAGCTGCTTCACCCTGTAAAAAACAAAAGGTAAGAAAAGATGTAAACTCAATGTATGAGAGAAGGAAGGTGAGATGGGAAAGAAATGGAATGATTTTGTATATCTTCGTATCATGAGGTCAGGAAGAAAGACGCTGCCTGTGAGTATAGTGCTAGAGTGTGGGTGGCATTGGTGATAAACTGAGGCACTGTTAAATAAACTAGTTTTTTTTCCCCTATGTTGATCTAGAGCCTGGCCTAACAGTTCAGTGCATTAGAGACTCTAAGATGCAGACTGCTGATAGTGTAAAAATACTCTCAGTATTAAATTTGTTTAAAAGAAATGCTGAGGTAGATACTTAAGTGAGGATAAGATGTCTACACAGCAGTATTTTTTCAGGCCTGAACATAACTATTATGTGATGTCACCTTTAGTAATTAATGTCACATGCAAGAGCAGAATCTGGACCAATGTCTTGCCTTGTTTTGCTGGTGCACATGCAGGAATCCTGACTTTTGCTTTGGAGCATTGCAAGGCCTCAGCCCAAATCCTCGTATATACAAATGTGTGCCTGTGTTTCTCAACCTCACCCAAATGCATGCAGTGGAAACAGACTAGAATCTAAAACATTTGCATGCAATTCTGGTTGTGCGAAATCACTACAGACAAAACACAGTGATTTCTTACTTTGCTTGTGATCCTTTTCTTGTCATGGCAGAGTCAGCCCCCAGTTTGGAATGCTTGTGAGCCTTGGAGTGTGAATTCCAGGTCTGCAACACACAGCTCACAAACTCTGCATTTATTCATTATAAGCCCTGGGAGTGGGGTCACTTGAGCACTCAGGCTTCTATAGGGGGATTTTTCTTCAGCACATTTAAGCGAAGTTTGTCTCCTTCCAGTTGTTTGCAAGCTGCAGTGCTGGCAGATACTGTTCAGCTCCTCTGTGCCTGGCATTGGAAGCATCACGTCGTGTGACTCAAGATGCCATCAGCTGTAAAAGACTGAGGTAGTGTATATTTAAAGGGAGAAAAACCAAGCGGGAGGGCTCACATAGGAGACAAAGTTTGTACATCATGTGGGCCCTGAAATTTAATTGCATGAGGCCTCAGCAGACTCATCAAAAGTGTCTGTTACTTGCCCTGAACCTCCTGTGGGAGGGTGATGAAGGGAGTTCTAAATGCAAATGAGGGACAATCTGCAGCTGTTCACAAAGTGACAGGACGGACATCTCATCTTGCGTGCAAGGAAGACAAGGTAGAAGTCCCAGCGTGGTTTAGTGGTGATACAGTTGCAGTTTCTTTTCATGCCATTTAGATAAAGTAGTGGTTCAGTCATGGTCTTAGTGCATTTAATCTTGTTCCCCGGACTTGTGTCTCACACAGTTCGAAAGCTGCTGTTCTTGCTCTGAGAAGAAGGATGGATGGCTTTGTAGTTAAAAAAAAAACAACTGGGAGACCAGAGCAGAAAGGTCTCGCGTGACATGGGACAAGCTGTTCCATCACTGACTGTTTCTCCTGTACCTAGGACAGCTATGCCGGTGTTGTAACACTAGTTGTAAGCCTCACTGCTTTGTAGTACTTAAGTTGAAAATATCTAATATGTTGTGCTGGTTTTGGCTGGGATAGAGTTAATTTTCTTCACAGTCGCTAGCATGGGGCTATGTTTTGGATTTGTGCTGAAAACAGTGTAGATAATTCAGGGATGTTTTAGCTATTGCTGAGCAGTGCTTACACAGCGTCATGGCATTTTTTGCTCTTCACCCCCCAACACCAGTGAGTAGGCTGGGGGTGCACAAGAAATTGGGAAGGGACACAGCTGAGACAGCTGAGCCCAACTGACCCAAGGGATATTCCATCCCATAGGATGTCATGCTCAGCATATAAAGCTGCGGGAAGAAGAAGGAGGCAGGGGGACATTCAGAGTTGATGGCATTTGTCTTCCCAAATCACTGTTACGCGTGATGGAGCCCTGTTTTCCTGGAGATGGCTGAACACCTGCCTGCCCATGGGAAGTGGTGAATGGATTCCTGGTTTTGCTTTGCTTGCATGCGCAGCTTTTGCTTTACCTATTAAACTGTCTTTATCTCAACCCATGAGTTTCCTCACTTTTACTCTTCCAATTCTCTCCCCCATCCCACCACAGGGAGTGAGAGAGCAGCTGTGTGGGGCTTAGTTGCCAGCTGGGGTTAAACTATGACATATGTAGATTTTTTTTTTTTTTTAAAGATTACTTCAGAGACTTCAAAGAAAAGTCTCTTATGTTAGAGATGCCTTGCAGATGGTTTTGCTATTGTCCTTGAAAGGATTTATTTTCAAATAGGGTTTGCAAAACACATTTCTTCTGGAATCGTCGGTATTTTTAATCCTGTAATGTGTATCTTAGCATCTCCAGTCCTTATCACAATCCTGGTCAAAGTACCAGTGATGGAAGCAATGTATGCTAATAAAAATTATGAAGGGAGTCCAACAAACTTGTCGAGGCTTACCAATTTGTAAGAGTAATAACCTAGCTGTGAAAGGAAACAAGAATGAGATGTAATGAGCCTAGAAGGCATAGCTAGTAGGGTCCTTTCAGACACCCAAGGTATGCAAAACACTCTTCAAATTTCTCTTTTGTACTAAAAATAGGTGTTGATTTGGCCACTGCCAAAAAGGACTTAGAAACCCCTGCAAGTGCTGACTGTCAGTAATTTCTTTATTTGGACACTGTGATCACATCATTTTGGAGTATCTGTGATTGTACTTGTGAGGAACAATGCCACTGAAGTAAGTGTGTTTTATCTCTTGCAAAGAGGACACCACTTTACACGCACTTGTATTTACCTGGTTGTAAGTAACGGGTTCCTGCTTAGAAGCCCTGAGTTTGCGCAACTGTTCTTTGTCTTTCCGAAGGTCTGTCTTGCAGCCGATCAGTACAAGCGGGACACCTCGGCAGAAGTGATTCACTTCAGGATACCACTGATGGTAGAAAAACAAAACTTTTACATCTGGCTTTTTTTTTTTTTTAAATCAAAACAATAAAGCCAAGGAACAGAACCAGCATTTAATATATGCTGCAATTTCAGAGTTTTGAAAGTTGTTAATTTAGTGGTAGGGGCCCAACATGCACTATTTACATCACAGAAACATTTAAAAGTCCTACCCAAAGTCAGTTGCTTTATAAAAACATAGGTGGCATCTGTCGTTATGCCAAAGTGCTTATTTAACGTCTGTTTAAATTCAGAAGAGCTCCTCTAAAGTCGTATTTAAGAGCAGAATTTGGACCAAGTCTTGCTTTGTTTTGCTGGTACTATGTATAGGAATGCTAGCTTCTACTTTGGAGCATTACAGAAATCCTAGTACAAGCAAGCGGTTGCTTACATCTTTCCCCTATAGTTAAACGTGCATGTGATGGAAGTAGACTTGAATCTAAAATGCTTGTATGCAATGTTGGTGGTGTGACATCACTACAGATAAAGTAGCAATTTCACTGCTGGTGTTTGATCTTTTTAGTGTACTGTGGAGTCAACCCCAGTTCTGAGCACTTATGAGCCACAGAGAGGTGAGCTCCAGGTCTAAGGTCTGTGACCTGCAGCTCAGTGCATGATGAGTGATCTGTGCATCTACACACCCAGGGTACAGGACACTAAAAGCATCAGCTTTTTTAATCTGACATCTTGTCATATATCAGGCGTATGTAATTCATTTAAAAGGCTGAAGCAATTACGAAAGCCTCTTACCTTAGCTGCTACATTATCATAGCTAGTGGGGTTCATGACATCGTAACAAATTAACACGACGTTTGTGTTCTGGTATGAAAGCGGTCGTAGCCGATCGTAGTCCTCTTGCCCTGAAACACAGAGAATGTTTTGGATAAAAGAAATCTGTCCTTAACAAGCAGTATGATGTGAATATGTAAAGATACATACTCGAGATCAAGAACAATGGTATTATAATTGCACAGACGGCGATTTTTCCATACTTGTACAATTCCTTCCCTTAAATGCAGGAGATTCTTCTTCCCTGACAAAACTGATGCTTTAGAATTTAAAACGTCCTTGGCAAGATTTAATAAAAGGCCTTCTTTGTCCAACGGCTAAGTACTTAGAAGCAGTTCTAATCACCAATTGCCAAGTTGCTGCTCACAAGCAAGATCAGCAAGAGGAATTTGACAGTTATCAATTAAAATATTTGCAGTTTGGCAGTGGCTCCATTCTCCCAACCACATCTGCATACGCGATGCTGTGAGAAGAAAGACTGAATTTGCTACAATGCTGAAGTAAAAATCTTAGTGGCAAACTTGCTTTTCCCAGCCCAGTGAGCTAAGAGGAAGCAGTGATTAGCACACTGTGCCTTTAGCACTGCTGCTCACTGTAGCAGCACGTACATGATTTTACAAGGCATGCTGCAACATGAGCCAGGCTCAACTGGTCTTTGAAGCAGGACTACACAGCAGATCTTAGGGATGCTGCTGAATTCTGGAAAAGTAGGGGATTTGTCATACTTCTGATTAGGGATATTCTAGCATGTGATCTGACAAGAGGAAGCTAATTTGCTTCAGACCTGTACTCTTCCCCTTGCTGTACATACAACTTAGCTGTAATCGCCATGCTGGGGTCTGAAGGTGTCTTGCTTTGAGAATTATCAGTAATTACCAGATATAGTTGGCAGCTGAGGAAAAAAACCCAATCTTTTTCATTTGAGTTTTTTTCAGAGACTTAATAAAGAAGAAACAGTGATTTAAGGAGCCTGTAGAAGATCTATTTGCCACCTGAATGCTGCCCCTGGAATCAGGTATGTCTCTGATGCACCAAATTTCCAAAAGAAGAACTGGGAACACCGTTCCTTCCCACAATCACCACAATGTACACACAGCTCAGAAACTGTCCTACAGGTATGCATCTCAAATCTTTGTATTGATATTTCAAATGAAGGGATGCTAAAAATTTCAGTGTGCCCCAACTTTATACCAACTATTCCTGCCCTGGCACCTGGCTCAGCCCCAATTCATGCACTCATCACTCTAGCCAACATGTTTGCCTCCAGCTGCAATCTGAAGAATTGCAGATACCAGAAAGCCAATAGTTTTACAATACTTTGCTCCCCTCCTTAATTTAAACGATGGATCAAGATACAGGTTATTACAAGGCAAACCCTACTGGATAAGCCATTACTTAGTCTGTCCGAGATGTTTGTAACAGGAATCTTTAGGTTTCGATCACTCTGTATTTGAGCTTCCGCAAGAGCAGCATGCTCCGTGGGTGAGGTGCAGAACAAAGATGGATTGATCCCTCAAGGTTTAATCCAGAAATAATAGACAATTGACAAAATTATGGATGTTGTATAAACATTCAGAGCAAAGACTACTGCTTAGCCCTTCTTATTCTCCCAAATCCACCTACTTGTTTGCAACCGATTTACCATTTTGTTGCCGAGATAATCCTCTAAATGCATTAAACACATCAGGTGCCAAACTTTTTTTTTCTCCTAACTTCCTCTAGTGTTATGTGCTGTGTATGATTTTCCCTGTTCAAATTCATGCCTCTGAGCTTCTACCAATGTAGCTTGTAAAATCAAAAGGTCCTCCAATTTATTGCTGGCAATTTGTGAGGCAGACAGGACCGTCCCCTTGGAAGGAACACATTCATTTGTTTGGAATCAGAACATACAGCTAAATTCATACTCTCCTGGATGGAATAACTGAAGAGGTGTCTTCAGTGGTGTGACACAAATATGCTGTATTGCAAGTCAAAAACTATAGATATGCCCCAGTGAACTGCACCTTCATCTTCAAAACCAGCTGTGCAGTTATGTTTTTTTAAGCAAACTGAGAAAATAAATGCATGAGAAAATGCTGCTGTATAAAATGCGTCTCCATGCATATTTGGAATTTCAAATACAGAGCACAGAACAAGGTATAGTGCAGAGACCACAGGGGGAAGGTTAGATGGTAATTGCTTAACTTGTATTATGGTTGGATGATTACAGCGCTCACTTGGAAGGAGAGGAAGCTATTCTTTAAGAGCTCAGATGTAGTTCTTCAGTTGCTGAGGATGTAACAAGACCCAGATCAAGCTGTGTCTAAATATCGACATCCCTCTCACTGAAAACAATCCCTTTCACCCCCTGTCCTTAAGTGCTGCTGATGAAATGCAAGAAATGGCCTGGGAGACTTTTTCTCTGTAAAGCTGCTCGGTCTGTGGTCAGAGCTAATTTGGCAGATTTAGGTCTTCTACTAGAAGAATTTTAAAACGAAGGAACAGGGCTGAACCTAAGCAGTAACTGAATGTATATGCAAAGCCCCCAAGTGTGCTTCCTCAAGCACAGATAGCTGTTTTGTTTCCCCAATTAATAAAAAGCATGCTGTGGAATAATTGGTTAAATATATGCTTACATGGGAGCATATCTGACTCTCTTCTGCCTTCCTCAATTCATTGTAGCATCAGAGACCCTGTTTGGTTTTTGGGTTTTTTTTCTTTAAAAGAAAAAACTCCATCCAGCTGAATTCACCCAAAATTTGCTAATTCTTTGCAAAGATCACACTCCTGCATGCCTCTGTGACATGCTGCGTAACCCACATCACTGCAGTTGGGCCCTACAGCAGGGTGGGACCTCAGCCTGAGGTGATGGTTGAGTGTGAACAGGGAAAGAAGTGAAACCACAGGTCTTGGTCTCACATCCACATTCACTTCTGTCTGCTCTTCCTCACCCCTTCACCAATTCACCACCAAGGAAGTGCCAACCTGTGTGTTGCTCAGTCCATAAAGGAGCTCAGCACCCACTGCCATTGACAGGAGAGGGTAAACAATAGAGTCAAGACTTGCCAGCCTAGGAGCCTAACAGTACACGCTGTCCTAACGTGCAGCAGCGCTGTCCATCGCCACCAACCGCCAGCGGCTAAGGAAGAATGTAATAATATCCTGCCACCCGGTCCCAACCAGCCCACCACTTCCTACGTATGGCCATGTGTTGACTGTAATACTCCACACTTGTGGTTTAGGATTGACATGGAACCATGTGACGGCAAGCCCTCACAAGCATGCAGAAATGCACCCAATTCTCTTTGATTTGTTAGTCTGCAGGCTCCATGGGAATACCATGGTTATTAGCTTGCCAGCTATGTTTTTTCACTACTCAGTTTAAAAAAAATTGGGAAACAGACATTCATGGCAGGAATAAAACCAGTAGAAGAGGACACTTGGAGCTGGGGGGGCACACTTCAATTAAAAAAAGTTGGGTTTTTTTTTTGTCTTCCTCAGGCATGCCCTTCCTTTCAAAGTTATGAAAAATTACTCTTGCATATACTGGCTTTTAAAATTTCTCTTAAGGCCTCAGACTGCCGTGCATCTGTCATTACAGACATGAAAAACCCTGCTGGAGGCTTTGCGTGTGCTTCCTGCCAGTCAGAGTGAGCACCCGCAATGATGAGGCATTACTTCCTCCCCAGCCTTCCCCAGCCCAGCAGAGCTCTTTTCTTTGGTCTGAGAAAGTCCTGCACTCAACAGCATCAAAAATTGAACCGTGTTTCTGCACTGCAGCTAAAGCATCAACACTGCTCCCTTAGTATGTAAAAAAATACAGTTAATGTACCTCTCAGTGCCTTTGCCTCTATTGAGCACAGCAAGAAATGGAAACTTTTAATTGAATAAGCAGCTGCAAAGCCTGTTTGCAGATGAGACAAGTGGTATTACAAAGCCTTTACACATTGCGTATGTATACCACCAACTTCCTGCAACAGCAAGAGGTGTCTCTGAGGAAGACAGAGTAGGATAGTATGAAGTCTCACAAAAAACTGTTATTCTAGCATATTTTAGGCTAACTCATTAACTTCATTTGTTACCAAAATTCTTGTCAAGAAAAAAAATACCTTTTGTAGCTTGAAATGTTTGATTGTTAGGCACTTTTTGTCCTTCTCCTTCAGTAAGTAGGACAAGCTCAAAGTCTCAAGCTGCACAGGACTTGACAATACAAAGAATCCTTCTAACTTTAAACAGCCCATGGAGCTGAACCTGTCCTTTACCTTCCCATGATGCTGAAGTACATGCAGTTCTATTCAGTGTTGCTCTTAGCAAGATCCTAAAAATATCAAAGTCCTTCCTGCGGTGGGTGCATCATGAAAATCCAGTGACACCTTTTAAAACAGCTGTGCCTTCTGCTCCCTTACACTGCTACATGGCACTTAGCTGAAGCCCTTCACCTCAGAAATGATTTTACATCCTTTTGATCCCACTTGAATGGTTTTATGATAATCTGAATTATTTGGGAACCTTTCAGACTGATAAGCAAAATACAAATATAAAGCTGTCTTACGATTTTAGAGAAGAGCAAGACCAACTCAAGCAGTTCAGTAAGTCAGAAGATGATTCACAGCATATTGCTAATATGCTGCACTGTTAAACTACTGTACTTCCAGCAATAAGTTGTATGTTTAGATTCCTCTTTAAGCTGCAGTTGCTGCTGTACACCCACCCCAGAGCATCATTGCCCAGCTGAGAGAGGAATTTAATGAGCTGCTGCTGTATGATATGACAAAAGCAAGTCAACATAGTGAAACACTGATTCCAAAACTGCATCTCCCATGCTGCATCCATGTGGCAGAGGGACAGGAGCTGTCTGTCTCCTGAACTGGACACTCCCCTTGCTCTTCCCTTCCTGCACTACTTGAACTTAGAGGACAGGACATGACTGTTGGTCCTAGTCTAATCCTTAAGGAACTCAACATCAGTTTTGTATTATTAAAAACAGGATGGGATTAAAATGTGTGCTCAAGTGAGTTCTTCCTCTGGCATAACTTCCAGCTTCAGAAAGAGGATGAAAAGCTGCTTGAATTATGGAGTATGACACAGATCTGTAACGTAAAACTACGTAAGCAGCTTTGAAACAGAACCAAAACTTAAGTCTTTCCCCCTCCCAAGCAAATGCCTTAACCAAGGTGGCGATGTCCACCCTTTCTTTGCACCTGATAATCTTGATGTGTGTCATGCAAAGCAAAAGAAATTTGACAGGAAGGGAGGAGACAAGTGTCAGCAGCCTCTAGCAACTTGTAGCCTGGTGGCCATGACACTGTTTCGGGAGGTGAAACACGTTGGTTTTCAAGGTTTCCAGATGAGGGATGGAAAGCAATTGCTCTTTCATGGCAAAGAGCTCTGCCAACTAGGCAACAATGGCATCTCCAATTCCCAAAGTGTCTTTATGAGACACAAAATACGCCCCACACGGTTCTTCAATGGGGCAGCACTTTGGTCCCAAGATAGTATTTATAGCTATGAACTAAATGTGTAAGGGTAGACTCTTTCTGCTAAAGTTACATGCCTGAACAAGGGAACAGGGTAAAATGGGGGACAAACTTTTTAGCAGGGCCTGTTGCGATAGGACAAGGGGTAATGGTTTTAACCTAAAAGAGTTTAGATTTAGACTAGATATAAGGAAGACAATGTTTTACAGTGAGGATGGTGAAATACTGGCACAGGTTGCCCAGGGAGGTGGTAGATGCCCCATCCCCAGAAACATTCAAAATCAGGATGGACAGGGCTCTGAGGAACCTGATCTAGTTGAAGATATCCCTGCTCATTGCAGGGGCAGGGGTGGACTAGATGACCTTTAAAGGTCCCTTCCAACCCAAATTGTTCTATGATAAAATGATAAGCCACCAGCACCGGGTTCAGCGAGCACTCTCCAGGCTGCTGGCACCTGTAGGTCTTGCGCAGAGCAGCTCCCTGCATGACGCAAGGAGCTGGGCACTTATGTCAGGCTTGCAAGAGTTCAGTGCTGCAATACTGAATTTGCCCTACCTACCCCCATTTCTGGATCCAGCCCATGTTCCTTAAAGCTTGGAAGAGACTCCAAAGGCAAATGTTGGAAGCTGCAGCTTGATTTTAAATGAGCCAGCCAAGTATCAAGAACTGTGACAGGCAAAAATTCCACACTGACAGTGAACAAACATAAAAACTCGACAAGTTCACTGTGGCAAGTTCTTTGTGCCAATACGCTATATTAAGGAAATCCCTCTGTCACACTAGATTTCAGCCCTTCTCTTTTCCTTTAAGACTTAAACACAAAAGCCTTGCCATTCAGTAGAAGTTACATTATCCACATTACTGGATTCAAGTACAGTAGCATTGACACAAGAAGATATACTGGCAAATTGCATGCTCAGGATCTTACTATACTGCAGTAAAGATTAGCAATAAAATACACTTTTAGATTAAAAACCTTTAAAATTATCCATTCAGATATCATGTACACATGCAAGAAGGTAAGTGTGTTTTACTACTGTTAAAAATTAATATGGACTGCATTCAGTTATTTGTCTTGGTGTAAATTTGGAACAACTCCACAGGCTTGAACTGAAACAGATGATTTACACTGAGCTGAAACGAAGCACGTGTTGATTTTAGGGTTCGTTTAGGAACACAGCTGGATAACAGAGCCTAGGAACTTTGAACCATTTCACAAGTTCCTGAAATGAACCTGAACAAACTACCAGTATTTTCAAACAACTTTTGCTGCTACGGCTTTTATATTTTGAACACAAACTGGCCTTTTTCTCCTTCGCTATTCGATCACACGTGGCAGGAGATTAAAATATTTTCCTGGTTGATATAATTATGCTTTGCATCTAGGACCTGGGGTTTTAATACCTTCAGATATGTTTGATATTTGATGTGATTTTCTTAATAAACTGGGTTGTTAAGATAATGAAGGAGTCCATGGCTAGAACTGCCATTAGACCAGAGACCCTTTTTGTTCTGGAAGGCACATTTATGCATGCAACAGGTAATGGTTGTTGTTCAGTTTGTACTTTAATCTCTAGCAGTCTGAACTGGGATATTACACTAAAAGTATGCCAGTAGAAAAGCAATTTGAAAATATGTCCAGCTTTACGGTCTTCAAGTTTCAGTCTGGTTTAAGTTGACACAGCAAAAGCTGCTGGAACAGAAACACGGGCACTTTTACAGGGGCAGCATTTCACACCAGTAAAAGCAATTTCTCCTTATTTGTCTGAAATTACAAAAGCCCGGGGGCTGCGTTTGGGCTCTGTCCCAGGCCAGTGCCCCAGGGCGGTCCCATCCCGGCGGCCGCACCGAAACTGCCTCTCGCAGCCCGGTACCGTTGGGATTGGGAAAATGGAAAGCATAACGTGAAAAAAAACCCTTACCTGCCGTATCGTACAAATTCAGGGTGACCTCCTTTTTGCCCACCGTAACGCTGGTAGTATATTTCTCGAAGACGGACGGCGCGTATTGCTGCAAAGGGAGGAGAAGCAGTTCTAGCTAGGGACAAGCAGCTCGCAGCCAGCACCGGCCGCTTTGCCGGGCGGCTCCCGGCCCCTTCGCACCCCGACCAGGCCGGGCCCGGCGGCGGGACAGCCCGCTCACCTCCGGGAAGTCTCCCTTGGCGTACACCATCAGCAGCGACGTCTTCCCGCAGCCGCCGTCCCCCACGATCACAACCTTCACCTCCTTCTTGCCCGACGGGGCGGCCGCGTTGTCGCGGGAGCCCCCCGCCGCGCCTTCGGGCAGAGCCCCGTTGGTCGCCTCCATGGAGCGGAGCGGAGCGGAGCCGAGCCGGGCCGGG